ACCAAATAGTTCACAGCTCTCCAAAGTGTCTTCGTTGGATTTTATGTCATTTTTAGTAAAAGTTTTTGTTTACAATATACATCCTCTAACACTTGATTTCCGTATATTAGCATTGTCTTGAGCTAAAAAAAGAAGATTTGATCCTTGATTTTAAGATTTATGAAACTGATTTCTACTTTATTAAAGCGATTTTTATATATTTTAAAATTATAGTTTATTNGATTATANTGTAAAATATGAATTTGTAAAAAAAATATAAAAGCAAAAAACCTGCGCGTATGCGCGGGTAATCACCTAGTAGTGATAATTAACCGATAATTAATTCAACTTCAAGACATTACACATTAACCTCACAAACGACTATTTAACACATGGCACATGAAAGTTTTATTTTTTTCTAACGGCTACACACAGAATCAAGTTCCAATTAAAAAATCGAATCAAGAACATTTAACACTCTATAGAACCAAAACCATATACCTAAAGAAATACTAAAACGTCTTGTTTAAGTTAAAAGGCTATGTATAAATACAAAGTTGAGAATCCCAAAGAAGAAGTAATAAATGAGAGAAAAAGAGAATGAAGGACACGTGATGATTGGGTTAAACAAATGTCAACGCAAAGTCGTCCAATTCTTAAAGCCAAACCCTCACCCATTTATTAACCTAACTGCCTAACCGTCTTGTCATCACCTTCCTCTTTATATACACACATTTCTTCTCCTTAAAGAAAACACATTTCAGATTTTATCTAAAGAAAGACATTAAAGAGAAGAAAATACGATCATGAAGCTCGTGTGGTCGCCGGAAACTGCCTCTAACGCTTACATCCACACCGTTAGAACTGTAAGAATACTCCAAATCATGGTGCATATATATTTGTTATATCATCTTCAACTTCTAACATATTTTTCGTAAAAGAACTTCTTAGATTTGTATATATGAATTACGATTCGATAGTTATAACGATATTTTGTTGTTGTTTGACACGATCCTTTTTATATGTGATTGTTGTTTAAGAAGATCATTGATGCATATACAATTGCTAAATTAGTATTCTTACAAGAAATTCTTGAATTGTAACGATAGAGTTTTTACAATAATTTTGTTGTTTGAACGATCTTTTTTGTATATGATTTGTTTAAATGACGATCTTGATGAATATGAATTATAATCTTGATCTTATTTTTTTTTTTTTAACTTTGTTTACGTTTCTTGAAGTGTAAAATCTACAAAGAATCGAGTGTGGCGGAGTATTTATCGGCTACGGCGGCTGGATGGAACATGAGACTGATCGTCGAGACTTGGACACGTGGAGATCCGATCGCCACCAGCGTCGGACTCGCCGTCGCGGCGATCCACACGTGCGGAAGACACGTGTGCATAGTTCCTGACGAAGAGTCAAGATCGGAGTACGAGGACGTCATGAAGAGAGCCGTCACGAGCGAAGCGACGGAGGTTATGGTCGGAGAATCGCCGGAGGATGTGGTAGAGAGACTCTCCGGAGTTGATTTCATGGTGGTGGACTCGAAACGTCGTGAGTTCGTTAAGGCGTTGGGATTAGCGAACACGAGCAAAATGGGTGCCGTTTTGGTGTGTAAAAACGCGACGCAGAAATCAATCCCTGGGTTTAAATGGCACGGTGTTTTGAGAAGAGGCACACGTGTGGTGAGATCGGTGTTTTTACCCGTTGGGAGAGGGTTAGATATCGCACACGTGGGAGCTAGTGGTTGCAGTGATTTGAAGATGAATCCTAGCCGTTGGATTAAACACATCGATCCTCGCTCTGGAGAGGAACACTTGTTCAAACGTTAATTGACAAAATTTGGGTACTAATAAGAACATAAAAGGATAAGATTTTTAAGCTCCTTTTTAATTAAATATGGTAAAAATGGACATCAAATCTCTTGTGTTGTCTTTTGTTCGTGTATATTTCGGAAAGTTTTGTTGTTAGTTTTTTATGGGATTATTATCCCAAAATGGAAAACACAAAATTTATACGTTTTAGAAATGTCACAAATCTCAAATCTAATAATTATTTCTATAAATCATTTCTGGTCCGGTATGTCTAATAATAATCAGAACCACATAATTTTATATCTTTGTTTTGCATGCACATTAAAAACATTTACTTTTGCAATTGAAAAAGGAAAAACTTTTCTTTTACATAAAAACAATTTTTTTTATTTCTATAAATTTTATATATGTCAAAACAGGAAATACATTAGAAAAAAGTTTCAAAACTTTGAATACCAAGAGAAGATAATTAATTAAATTGTCTAAATAAACGAAATTATCAAAAAAGAAAAAGATATAGTTTTAGTTTAATTATATTTCAATCTCTCTCCGTTGTAGTCCAAAAGAAAACTCTCTCTCTCAATCTATATTTCATTCTTCTCCTCTTTGATCAATATACCAATGGAGAAACACTCCTCCTCCTC